CTGGAGAACTTTCCATACTGGTTATGATACCAGCACCAATCGGGGTTATCTGTCTCTCGTGGTCTAGAGACAGATCGCTTACGAGAAATGCTTCTACGTGGTGTGCGCGATCTCTTACGGTCGGTACGAAGACTAAGATAACGCGTGAGTGTGTGACATAAGTCGGTTATATCATTCTGAGTCGTTTGAGGTTTTTCTTTGACTGAAAATACCTCGGTAGTAGGTTTCGTAATTTCTAGAATGCGGTCGGCATATGCAGCTAGCTCGTCTAAGGCGTTGTTCTGGAACGAGACCAGAACTGCTTGCACCTGTTGGGGAAGTTTTGACAAGAAGAGTTGTTTGAATAGACCTTCGTTGAAAGTTCTTGGGTCTATTACCTCTCTCATCCGTTGCAACATGTTCGTCGCAGAACCGTGTTGCAGGTCGATGTTATTGAAGAGTTGATCTAACCTTTGTCGATCGGTTAGGTCTCCTCGTTTAAGAATCGAGCGTTTCAAGGTTTCGTAAGGTTCAGAAACATCACTAGTAAACATACTAGGTGTTACGTACCTGTTGAATTCGCGCGGTAGTGCCTTGACTACTGCGAGAAATTGTGCACGTGTGTCGATCACGCCGTGCTCGTAGAAGTCGGCTTCTGCGTTGCAAAACCAAGCTTCGATGTTGTCGGGCCAGAAAGGCATCGGTTGAAACGAAGGTGGGGACAAGGTCTTAAGCTTGAATACTTTAGGTGTCTGTTCAGTCATGATGAAGTATGAAGTACGATAATGAACGAGGGGAAAATATATACATATCCAAAAAAATAAGAAAATAAGGCAATGATATATAAAAATCCCAAAAAGGAACAGACTCACAGTTGCAATTAGGTGTACCAGATCACGTCGGTTTCACCAATGATGATGTCACAGGTATTCAGTGTTTGACAACGCTTCTACCAGTAACACCTTCTAATATATTTCGTTCCCGCCCAGAGAAATCAAAAGACAGAGTCGAGGAGATCGGAAGAGTATATTTGGTGATGACCAATATATCGGGATTCTCTGATCTAATCTGGCTAGCGATTGCGGTTGATGTTGAGCACGGCGTTACCACACGTGATCTGGTGCGGATGCCTGACCGAGCGCCTTCAGCTAGATGAGTCCACTAAAACATATGGCCAGCATCCAATGTCGAAAACTTAGTGCTATTTATTTTGGGGATTTATTTACCGCTACAACAGACTCGTTCAAACTGCATCGGGAGTCGGAAACAGATTAGAGAAAGGAATTGCTCATAGCTAAGATGGCATTGATTTCAGATTGTTCCTATTGTCTTAAAATGAAATTACAATATAAATTTTTGCTATCTACATTATGTTTTTTGAAATGAATTAATAATTGACCAGGTTTCTTCACACTTTTAGGTCTGATTATTCATTGTTGTTTGTTATCAGCTTCACGTTGTCACAGATCTATGAAGTGACTTAATTAATCTGTGTTTTATAGTAAGCAGTACATGGAATAAACGTCAGGCAAGGAATGAAATTTGAGTGCTAACAGTCGTATTTCGAATCTGTGCGATACGCTTCCCAAGTAAGTGGGTGGTGCTGAACCATGGTTCAGCAGTGTTTGACTTGAGTAGTATGTGAAGCAGGATGAAACAACAATTTATGACTAAAGGAACTTTTCAAGTGTCATATTCGTTTATTGTGCTCGTGTTCCAGTCCAATGTTGTGTCAGAACGTAGTTGCTCAGCAGTAACCATATGGACCCAAACAACCAAAAAAGGGCAAATAAAGGCGATCAAAGGGGAAATAAAGGGGTGAATGCTTTGGAAGAGAAAGGGGAAAACGCATCAGAATGTCGCCTTTTTTGCCAGTCCGGGGAAAATACTGCGAATTTCCCCCTTTTTGCCGCTTTGTCGATAAATTGCCGATTTTTCGCCTAATTATCCGCTAAATTGTCTACTTTTCGCCTAAATTCCTGCCGAATTGCCTAGTTTACGCCAAAATGTCCACCGAATTGTCTACTTTTCGCCTAAATACACATAGAACTCCATCTTTTCGATCCATTGACATAAGCTACAACATATTCAATATGCTTTAGCTTATTGAACAATTAAACCACCGATAATTGTTCAGTGTCTTACTGAAGATATACATCCTACCATAGTCAAATTACGACCCATTAAGAATGCGTGTCTATCCAGTTGTTCAGGAAACGAAAACCCGATTAAGTACTCGTCCCGGATAATTCATCATAACGGGAAACTCAATATATAGATGCATAATTTCAAAGTCATTTGTATGGGATATACATCTTTCACTAAAGTACTTGTCGGCCGTTCATCAGTAAGTGAAAAAGCTACTTTGACAGGTCACAACTACAAATAATGTCTAAACTGTAGTTAGATTCATAGATAACACCAGCCTAACGTAATGTCGTATATTACTTGTGTATTCATATTTTCACGAATGAACTGAAATGTTGTTTGCTGTCACTTTCAAGCATTGATTGAATAATCTAATCTGGCCAACCTTTATAAAAACTAGTAGTTATTTAATCCCATTTCCTCGGTAGTATGCATATTTATCAACCGACTAATAGAGTACTGTTTTTGGCCACAGGTACCCCAGCCTTCGAACCATTATAAAGCGAATGACGAAAAGAATCCGGTCTCAAAAACAAGTTGGAGTAGGCGATATTGAGGACGGTGTCTCGGAGCATATGAAACGTAAATGGGAACCACCAAACTGGCGGGCTCAACTTAGCAATATTCGAAAAATGCGCGAAAGTCGCGACGCCCCGGTAGACTCGATGGGTTGCGAAAGATTGGCTGATGAAACAGAACATCCGAAAGTATGATAGCCTTTGCTAAATATTTTGAAACTCATAGACATTCAGATTGCAGGTACTGATAAGTCTTATGTTGTCAAGCCAGACGAAAGATCAAATTACGGCAGCTGCAATGGAGCGTCTGAAGTTGAGAGGGTGCACGCTTACAACATTGACAAGTATGAAGACGGAAGACTTGCAGGAATTGATATACCCAGTGGGATTTTATAAGGTACCATCTAAGTTCGCCAGAGCTTCTCTTAGACAAAAGCTTTGAATATAAAGAAAACTTGCGAGATCTTGAAGGAAAAATACAACTCAGATATACCAGAGACTGTTGAGGAGTTATGCACCTTGCCTGGTTAATGTGTTTACATTTTCTATTGACCACTCTAGGTGTCGGTCCGAAAATGGCATATTTAGCAATGCAGTGTGCGTGGAAAAAAGTGACTGGAATCGGTGTCGATACACATGTACATCGAATTATCAATCGTTTAAAATGGAACAAAAAACCAACCAAATCTCCAGAAGAAACTCGTCTGGCCCTCGAAGAATGGTTCCCAAGGTAGTAATTGGAATATAATTAGTAAATACCTCAAGAGTTGTAATTCATGTATGTGGGAAACAGTATCATGCTAGTCGGTTATTTTTTTTGGTTGGAATTTTATCTTTACGTTAATCTGGACAGGTATATAGATCATTAAAGGAAGGGGGCGTCAATGAAAACCAAACTTTAAGCATCTGATTATTTCACTAATATGTAGTGTCATTTGTGGATAGAAATCCATTCAACACCAGTTGAGCGTATTTAAAGCCCTTTAAACATCAAAGTGGATACAAAAAAATAGTTGCGGGCCTCTCCTACTTCGGGTTTTGGCAGACGTTTGGTATTACCAAACCCACGTGGCTTGGTGAAACGTTATAAAACAAATAAGTCGACCACATATTTTGGATTAACAATATTTATTATCGGTGGATTTATACAGTACCACGTTTTTGGTGAATTATAGGATTCTTAACACAAGGTGTTTAATTTTCTTTTTAAAACAAGACTGATAACTGCATACATACACACGAAAGTTAAGTAGATAAACTATCTATGGCAAATTGAAATGTTTGTTAGGATCTGAATCTGTACTTCTTCAATTAGAAACATGTTTGAGAATACAAGCTATTGACTAGGTTAATTCTGACAATCTGTTCGTCACGATCAATGTCTATTCCCGATTTCCTAGATAAGGTGTTGTAGAGCTTTTTTATTACATTTGCTTGCGTGCATGGATTTTAATGTGACGTTTCGTCCTACCCGAAGATATGAATGAGGTGAATGTTTAGTGTCTGATAAAATAACATCTACCAGGAGTTCGCAAGACTTTAGATTAATGACCGCAAAAGATTCACCACACACCCTGCTAACTGCCTTCAGCACTCCGCAATACAACATCAGATGGAGACTGCGATGATGTTTGCCTAAGTGGTTCAACTTGATGTATGACAGATGGAATCATTTTATTCTAAAGAGACTTCCTCATCGTTAAAACTTTCGTGCTGTTAAGTATTAGACGATAAGCAAAAAAGATCAGCCCCTGGAAGGGTTGATAACACTGACCAAAGGTTGAAAATAACCATATATCAAGCGCCTGACAACTGAGTTTCTTGTTATTTATAATATATGGAGATAACTTATCCTTGTTTTAGTCTCGTGACAATTTTTACGTTAAGAACTAGTTCAGGAACTAAAGAATATTGACTTCTTAAGTTATGTACGACAAAAGTAATTCAAGCTGCAGCCTTTGCCATGCTTAAAGCTCTCGAATGTATCCTGTTATTTTGAGTAAAAAGCCTCGGAGCTGGAGTAGTTACATAAATTTTTTAAATGACTTGGCACTTTGATGTTTTTGTCGTCACTGTACGAACCATGAAAGTAAGATATGGCAAAATGATTAACTCCAGTGATCTTTATGGGAAAATGTAATGCAGAAAACCAGGAATTATTCGGCTTTATGGTCATACGCATACGCTCACTAACGAATTTCGATTACTTTTAGGGAACACTGGGATGAAATTAATTGGTTACTAGTCGGTTTTGGCCAACAAATTTGTCGCCCAGTAAATCCAAACTGTAAAGAATGTTTAAATCTATCAATTTGTCCATCTGCGTCGAAATTTCATACGAAAACAAAGATCTAATTTGAAGATCGACAATTTGCATTTATCTCCCATTTCAACTACTACAAAATACTTTCTGAGATCATAAGTTATTTTTTTTAATAAATAAAGCAATCATAATCAAAGCTCGTATGTTCCAGATTCAGTTCGTGAACAGATTTGGGATTTATTACTTCAACTATGCTTGTTAGATACGGACCAAACTGAAAGATAAGGGAATGAAACAATATATTATAAATTTACACAATATGTATATTTAGTTATTGGAAAACCTGCATTTCTTTAAATATTAGTTTACCAACGGAATAACAATTATCTGTTAAGAAATTGATTATAATTTATTTTTATCAAGTTTAAATAGTAAGTAAATTTCGTAAAATCAGGAATGTATTCATCATAATTGACACGGGAAATGTTGTAAGTGATGAACCAAAGCCCTGTGAAGAAACAAACCAGACTATTGTATATAGAAGTGCAGTTCCCAGATGTATTGATGAAATGGTGCGCAAATTTGTCCTTGTGCTTTTCGTAACAAGTCCGTCTATTAGATGATAAGGTTTGATGGTACAACAGAGAACGCGCTGTTACTACACTAGTTTGTGCAGTATGGTAATATCAGTGCCACTGACAAAGTTTGTGTACATACACATACTCGATAGCGTGGATGAATTACAATATTTAAATATGAGTTGGTTACATAAGCTAACATCGGTTTTAGTTATTTCTCACACTCGTCAAGTGCTCTATTAACTTCCACACGTTTGATTTCATCTTGTTATCTTTCTTCAACTTCGCGTCCGTTATAGAGCCTTCTTTTACCCATGATAAGGTGTAATCGTCCTATTTTCCAACAGATTGTTATATTTGCTAACCTATCAGCTATGAATATGGTGACACAGCTTGAGTAAATGATATCGTCGAAAAGGATATTCATTTAGCTGAATTGTTTGAAAATCTAGAACTCAAGATATCGAGTCGTAAATGAAGTTTAACACCACGACTGCTTATATAAAGGTCAGAGAATCAGCCAAGACATTCAAAGCTTTCAGAAAAACTAAGTAGAGGACTAAAAAGGAATCGTAGTGCAATGTTAGCGAACTGACAACGTACTTCGGGTATATAACCACTGCTAATATACGACAGGTCAGTATTATTATCGTGTTATAAATCACACTATTCAGCTAGTCTTTGTCAGCTTTTGATCGACCAGTGACATTTACTCAAACAGGATATATGCATACAATTTAAACTGATAATCCACATATTCTTTTCTTGCAACGTAATTTTCACTTTCTGATGTTTTGATGTGCATTTACTTATTTTAACCTACTCCTTGTGTTGAGTTATCTATTCAGACTTTTTATTATTCTTATCACTACCAGTACATCTGTCATATTACTATCAATTTGTATGTTGCTGTTCTCTGTGTTGTATTGGAAATTATTGTTTCCTCCCTTGTGTATGTTGAGGCTTACTGATGCAGAGGCTACTGCTACACTGGCCATCTTTACCTGCATTTGTTGCTGTGTATGGGATAGAAGGGCCAGGTAATCTGCGAAGCCCAAATCGTCTGGTTGCTTCCAACCTGTCTATTTTATTCCGTGCTTCCCCTGAGATATGCAGGACTTAAGAGTCCAGTCAACCACCAGTAGGAGAAGAAAGAGGGACAGTAGATAACCTTGTCTGAGGTCTTCATAATCCAATCGACCACCAAAAAGAAGAGACAGGGGAGAGAAGGCAACCTTATCTGACTCCGATCCTCAATCGCAATGAGTCTGTTAGCAGCTGTTTTCAATGCATGACTTTGCGCTGTAGTTCATCGTATGAATTCCGGATGATGTTGACGATTTTATCAGATACTCCATAGTGTTTAAGTTCCCATAATGTTCTCCTATCCACACCGTCAAATGCTTTATCATAGTCAAGGAAGATGATTTATAGTGACGAGTCCCATTCAATTGATTGTTCAACGATGATCCAGTGTCGCGCTTCGTTCTATACACGACCGATCCTTACGGAATTCAGCCTGTCGATCTTGAAGTTGGGCGTCTACTGAGTCTCTCACTCGGTTCAGCAACATTCTGTTGAAAACTTTTCCCGATAGCGACAGTAATATGATGCCTTTGTAGTCCTCACATTTGCTCAGTTCTCCTCTCTTTGGTATCTTGACGAGGTCTCCTTTCCAGTCTATCAGAGTCACTTGTTGCTCCTCCCAAATTCTGAATAGAGTGTGGAGCATGCTTGCAGTTGCTTCTATGTCTGATTTCAGTGCTTCGGCTGGTATATTTTCAGGTCCTACTGCTTTTCCACTCTTGATTTGTCTGATGGCCATCCTGATTGGGCGGCCTGCTTGAGCATCTGGGCTACCTGTTCCTGTCATCTAAATATTTCAACAAGTTATCTACTTTTGTTTGTTTTAATATATCATTATGTATATTAATCGCATAACCCATCCTTGTGCATTTCTGAAAAGTTTACAACCTTTCGTTGTCAAAGTTACTAAAAGCTCATTAAGAGATAATGTGGTCGCTGGCAATATGCAGAGAAAAGAATATACATTATTCAGATGTTTATTTACTGGACTGCTAACATCTAACTGGCTATCACTCAATATTTATCGTCAGCATCGACCCAGAAGAAAGAAACAGAAACTTGTTGAAATACTTTGTGCTGAGAATTCTATATTGTACCGAAAATCTAATATTGAATAAAGCTTATAATAATAATAATCTCTTCGATCGCTGGTGGAGTGACATCTATAGGAGGGTCTGTATGTATTGATTCAACACCCGGTGGATTCAATAGAGCTGGTCTATTCAAGAATTCTTCGAAGTATTCTACCCATCTATTACTCTGTCCTTGAATTCAGTGACTGGCTTGCCTCCCTTGTTGTTGACCAGTCTCCCTGGTTTACTATATTTCTCCAGCAGTTTCCTCAACGAGTCATGTAGTTGTCTCATATTTCCTTCTGTTATAGATATTTCCGCTGTCGTTGTCAGGTCTTCCACGAATTTCTGCTTGTCGGCTCTAATGCTCTTCTTCACTTGCTTGTTTGCTTCTGTGTATTCAGCCTGTGCCTTGACTTTCTGTTTTTGTTCGACTAATGTTAATTGCTGTATTTTTGTTCTTTCTTCCTTGAATCCCGTCCAGGGTTTCCATAGAGATCCATTCCTTATGATGATGATCCTTGCGACCCAGCACCTCCTGACACGTTGAAGTTGATCGTTCTTTGATCCCTTTTCAGCCGTCCTCTATAGTAGTTTCTTCTTTGAGTAGATTTTGTAAGACATGGAACCTGTTGTTGAGAACTATCTTGAATTCGTTAAGTCTGTCAGTATCTCGGAATAAGGTTGTATTGAACCTTTGTAATTTTGTTTCCCCAGTTGTCCAGTCCTTTAGCTGCAGTTTCATCTCTGTCACAACCAGGTAGCGATCAGAGGCTATGTCAGCTCGTCTCCTGCTTCTCACACCCTACACTCACCTTTTGAATTTTTCAGTGACAAATATGAACGGTCTAGTTGTCCGTAGTGTGGTCCGGTGAGACAAATGCAGCTTTGTGTATGCGTTTGTGTGGGAACATTGTGCGCATATAACTATGCATTTGAATGAACTTAATTTTGTAAATCTGTCACTATTCTCGTTCGTTTTTTTACCAGTCCTCATATAAGAACATGGTTGAACAGGAAAGAAATTATATTCCAAATCACAAAGGTAGATGTAAGTAAGAAGCACAATAAGGAAAAACGTTAGTGTATCTATAGTTTTTACATGGGAAGATTCTAGAGTCTTCTCTAAGTATCAACTAGCGCTGATTGGATAAGAAATAGCCAGTCAACATGCAGCAACACAATCGTGCACGAAAGATGCTTTAATCCAATATATGTCTCGCTAACACAGTCAGTCCATGTCGTCCCATGATATCTCCGTAACCGTTGTTGTCCATTCCGACTTTGGCGTTTAGATCTCCCATCAAGATTGTCAGTTTCTTTCCTGGGCGCTTCGCTACGATCGATTGTAACCTTTCATAAAACCAATTTGTATCGTCCCAATTGCTATCGTTGGTGACTGCATAACAGGATAATATTCATTGTCATTCCCTCCTTCTTTGTTTTGAAGGATGATTTGATGATCAAGGGTCCATGAGATTTTCATCCATTAAGTGCATTTCTTGCTTCTTTGGACAGTATCAGTTCAGTTTCGTGAGTGTATGGAGCATCTTCCTCTTTGTGACCAGAGTAAAGCAGAATCTCTCTCGTAACTATCCTTTGGTGTCCAGCTAGAGTCCAAAGAGTTCCGTTGATTCCAAGAACCGCTAAGTTTTATCTCCTTATTTCCGTTATTATTTGACTGGTCCTCCCAAAATTTCCAGAAGTTTCATGTACCTATAAAAATTGTTGTTCTGGTTGTTAGAAGGGCCATCGGCCTCGTGACTTCCGAATACTCGATTTTCATGATGAGGCGTCATAATTCTTCCTTTCAACTGGAAGAACATAGTTTAAATAGTTTATTATGGTTAGCGCTTTTTAGCAAGGTTGTTTTTTCTACAGGTTGGGTTGCGGACCCCACGCCCAACCCTCCTCCTTTACCCGGGCTTGGGACCGGCAGTAGCCCTAGGAGAGCTACAGGCGGAGTTATGACATACGGGTCGTTCTTTAAATTAACTTAGATTCCGAAAAACGAAGCAACTACTTTCCAATTGAGGAATAATCTGAGATCCCCAAATTATAATAAACTTGATACACAACATACCTAGTCACAAAAATTTATTGAACTATTGAAAAAGTAGATATCTAACTCACCAATAATAACCACAAGAATTATAACAGCTAATCCTCCAATAATAAACCACATCTACAATAAAATCAAACAGGAAATGTTTTCGCAAAATTCCATTGTTGACCAAAATAACTGGAAACTGTATTTGTTAAGTACAAAACTGCAATCTAAGAGGACTCACTTATAAGAACGTTTAAAAACAGATTAGGCAATAGAACTATGCGTTTTTAATCATATCGCAGTGGTGAATTTCACAAGCTGCAGAGGTTTCAACACTAATCGACATTTCGTAGGGCAATGTACTGTTTTCTTTCTTTTTTAATGGTGAAATTCTCTTAGATCATGTTAGAAGGGTGACTTTTCGAACTTATTTATGCAAGGATATCAGTGTTGAAGATGGTATACTTTAGCCATTGTTTCATTTTTTTATTGTAAACATAAGTATTATTCATTAGCGAAATTCAGCTGAAAGTAGATTCTTCGAGAAGGTTTATAAGTGTCTACATTTCAATTCATCCATCCATGAGCATGAAAATAGTAGGATAGATATAGGATTTATACATATTTTCTAAGATATCAGTCCTTATGGTTATGTATGTACTGTAGCAAGGAATTATGTATCATAAACAAGTTCTTGATGCTTCAGTGAATACTTTTGAAATTACTTAAAGCTTGTAATATAAAATAACATCTTGTTAGTTGCGGAACTTACGATTGATGCTAACTTTAGAGACAAAATACATTTTATAGCACACAAAATAATCTTGTCACTGATACTAGATGAGGAGCGATTCCTATGGTTATATATATATATCATTCCTTAGAAAATCAAAATTAATCTTGGCCAATCACGCACACTTACCATTGGAAAGATTTTTGGTGAGCCCAGTGTATTCAAAGTGATTTTAATTGTGCGTAAGCAATTGCTCTGTTAACCGTATTTGTTGTATTGTTTAAGTCATTATGATACACTAATTATTACTTGTAAGGTAATACGAATTAGAAACAGAATTAATTGAGTTGCAGCATTCTAATGAAGTATATGTAAATGTTTTTTTTAACAAAAAGGGGAACATTTTACTAAGTACTAAATCTGTTCGGTTGAAAAGAAAGTATGATTAAAATTAATTCCAGTAGACTAAGATCTCTCCGCTGTGAGAGAATCCACCTTGGTTCCCAAAAGGAGTGTCGACGATTTTATTAAGCATTAGGATTTCCTATGAGATTAATCCAGCAGAAAAATATCTTTGGTAAGGAGAAAATTCTAACTGCATAAATCTAAGACCAAATAGTCCATCTAATTTACATCTACAAACAGAAATAACTAAGTTTCTATGTAATTAGACGTTTTACAGCTTAAAATAATTCAATCTACATGTACGGATTGCATTTCAGTCAGTCAGTCAGTCAGTCAACGGATTGCATTTACTAAATTAAGAAAAAAAACCCTATGAATCTGGCGCCTAAGTCATTTAAGCATACTGACATAAAAAGTAACTTAGAGTAGCAGATGCACACGCAACTTATAAACAAACACACAGATCAATTAAAAGATTTTACATAATAAACCAATAATAGCAAAATTTTATACTGTAACGCTCTCTGTTTATTGATTCAGTGACAGTGTTTATGATCAATAATCGTCAGAAACAGAAATAAAATGATAACTCTAAGAAATGTAAATTTACAAAATACCGGTTTGTTAAGGAAGGAAATATGTCAAACTGCACAACATAGTTACTTATAACTAAACAAGCAGAATTGCATATTATTCACATATGAGGTTACTTGAGCTTACGTTTTAAAATTAACGTAAGTCAGTGAGCACGTAAGGGTTCGTGTACCTGACTACGAGGTTTGCTCATTGCTTAGAGGGTAATAATCTATGATGTGGGCTTTCGAACTCGGTATTAACTAATTGAAAATTAATTATTCAAATCAATATACTACAGGTTAATGTAAAGTGACAGGTAAGTCCATGACACTATGGTGAAACAGAACCGATGGGAGAGGTGTGTATTTGTTGTGATCTAGTAATTAATAGCTTTATATTTCCATAAGAAACCTTAAGTAACACAGTCAAACGATATATTTGTTGAATTACCTCTTCAGCTTTTTCTACTTGATTAAAAAATTTCAGTCTGAAATAGTGCATTGCAAGTAATCACTTGTTTAAAAATCATATAAAAACCCTACCTGAAACAGTTAAATTAAGCATAAGTATGAACTGACTGAGGTTTTAGTGACGCTGCGGTTTCCGAATCGGAATCATGGCTCAACAATTTACCAAATCGAACAAGGATTGATTTGTGATGTTCTAACGAATAGAAATTAGAATTACTGACATTTTGCAAGATAATTTAAGTTTACTCTGAAGAAGCCATTCAAATGAAGTCGTGAAACGTCGGAAATCTAAATTTCTACTCATTGAGATAATACAAATACATTATTATTTGATTGTTAACATTGTACTTAATTTTCAGTTTATTTGAAATTATTAAGTCAATCCTTGTTTATTATACTTCTGATACTCATATTATTTATTATGAAATATCAAAATTATATTGATAGAATAGAACGCCAAAAAGAGGTTACAGATTTAAGAAGAATAAAAAAAGGAAGATGATAAAGTGGTTTAAAGGAAAACAACGAATACAATCTGTGTGCGTAAGTAATTGAGATTGGTTTCTTTCCCTACAAAAGAAGTCCGTCCACTTTGTTTTAAACACAAAAGCAACTTTAATATGATAACCACAGATGATTTTCAGTTGTATTTGATAATAACTCAAACGACTGAGTAGCATGATCTCCATAACTCTAACTAATAAATCACGATAAAATAACAGATATTAAAAAAAATACACCCACCTTCATTCTACGATGCTGTATTGAAAGACTAGCTATATACTCGTGCCTTCACTCCATTCTCAGAATCACCAGACTAATTTATTTATTCGAACAAATAAATATTGGTACAAAGGGGAACAGAAGACATATGCGCCACACAAGTCAATTGACTTGTATTTAGGCTATGATACTGCCAGGGTGCCTAAACCGCAGCACGAGGTTTTCTTAGGGGGCCACACCCCGAGCCTTCGATCTATGGGTCTGATCCACAAGGCCGTGAAGCAATGTCGGAAGAGGCAGTCCCATGGTTACCGGTGACCAGCGATTGGTTCATACGCCATTTGTTCTCTTAGGATCCTGAAGCCCATGTACACAACTGGTTTGGAATCAAGGTTTTATAAGTTCTCTAGGTGGATCCTTTGTATCCACGATTCCAATTAAAGCGCCGGACATTCACTTCTCGTTCTCTCAATTGCGTAAACAACACACCCGCCATGAGAAGGAAGTGAGTAGGACTATTCTGGCAGAGCTTTTATGCGCGTGGCCATGTGAAAGCATTTCGAGGGGGGGAGCGGACTCTCCCCAAATTCGGTCGTACTAGGGTATGTGTTTGATATTTAAGCCAATGAAACGTCATGAATCAAATGAATTCATGATGATATCGCCGACAGAATAGTGATAATTATTTTTTGACGAAAACTCGCTGGCGAACTTCAGTATTGCTGAACGTTTTGTTGCTGATTAAGATTATTACTTAAAAAACTGATAATTGGAAACATATTTTCTTGAACATTCTCAGTCCAGAGAGAATAGGCTTCATAGTCACAGGGCGAAACTACTTGTAACGCAGTGTTATGCACCCAATGATTTATGACCAAACTGACTTCGGAACAACATCAAAGAAGATTTAAACTGATATGAGTTGCTCATTTTTTCCATAAACGTAGACCAATAACTTCTGCTAGACCACCTGTCCGTACAACAACTCAAATGCAAAAACAGTTCAAATATTTATCACAGTTTACTCTTGAGTATAAGAACAGACACAGTTCATCCCTTCCACTTAGAAGCATTTTGAAATAATAGAGTATAATTTATACTCAGAGACGATTATTGCCAGCTAATAAAATGTGATTCATATAGGCTACACAACATTGTACAGAAAGAAGTTGTCATTGACACGTCTTGTCGATGAAACGCCATATAAGATTCCTATTTCGGTAACCCACAGTCTAGAACTACACAGCGACTCGAACTCCAAAGAGAAGACACAAGTATGAAAGAAAATATTTATCCCAAGGTTCATTTTTGTACAGAAAATCAAGGGTATTTATAGATGTTGACGTCTGTTAAATCAACATCATATTTTCAGCCAATCCGTTAACGTCATATTATGCTACCGACCAATAATAGCACGCCACGCTGGAATTCTCGAACATTCCATCGTACTCTGATTGGCTAGGATCCTTCGGCTCCTTTTGGGCCTCTGGAGGCTCCGTTGAAGTTCTGCGGAAGCCGACTCAACAGTCATCTACATACTTTGTTAACAAAATTAAACCATTACTACATACTTTATTAAGAGCTGTTTTCACAATGCTATCGATGAAAAGTTGAGGAGGGATGGTCAGAGTAAATAGCCCTACAGAAGTTAACTCATGATTTGAAATAATGTAGGTGAAGTGATTGTGTATAATCAGTTTACCTGATTTCGTTTCTTATGGAGGTTCCATGATATCAATAAATCTCCTAGGTATTTTCAGAATCAGTGAAAAGTTTCGACGAAACATGTGATTACAGAATAACGACGTCGATTACACGACTGAAATACTACATTCAAGAAGAAACTATTTGTAAACTTCTAAGATGAATCAGAAATTCAACAGATACAAGCTACAGAGATAAAGACTGAAATTAAGATGAGAAGGAGCATAAAAGAAGTGCATGTAGAATTGCGCAAATATATAAGATCATAACAGAAATCGAGTTTAAAATAAAATTATTGAAGTACGTAAGGATATATTTGAAAGGCGAATCATTTAAATTTCTTATTTCCAAATGTTATACATGAAGTGAAGGTTAAGATAATATTGAGGTGTTAAAACTGAATTGGTTACTTTCCGAAAAGTGATCACCTTTACAAACCTTTAATGAAACCACCTGTGCATAAGGCAAAGACGAACCGTTATAAAAATTGGTTCTGTGATAACCAGAGAACATAAAACGTTTTTACATTAATAGCTTGTTATGAACATTAAGACGAATATGCGACTTGTTTGGAATAGAGTTTGCTAACCTTACCAGTCGAATTCTTTGTGTCCATTTACCCAGTCAATCCATCATATCTGCTTTTACATTTTTGTTTTTCTGGCAACAGTAACACAGTAGCCTAGAACACCTTTGTTAGACAATACATAACTAAATATCCATTACTTTTTTTCGAGACAAATAGAAAATGCTTATTATCCAATAACACATTTAGGTATGGAAAATCCTATAAAAATGGCATAAAATTAAAAGCTTCAACAAACCATTAACTTATCGTTAACGAAACATTATTTTTTTCTCCTTGTCAATTTACCTTCATATTTTGCCAAAAGTATTTTCTTCGTACACGACCAGCAACTGCCTGAAACTGTTTGGATTGAACTTGCAATTCATCTGAAAGAATGGTCAAAGGTCAAATCAAAATAATAATTCTTCCACCTAGAAATCGGTATATTTTACAAACAGCAATATTATAATAGGATACATCATTTTTAGTAACAAATTTACAAACAAGTTATCAGGTAGAGTGGTTGGTCGACGCAATTTATTTAGTATAGCCAAATAACGAATAAAGTTTTCTAGTAAAAAAAATACATGACACAGAAACAGTTATTTTATTCTTAATTACAACTTTGAATGCATTACTATTTTCGTCATCTACACTGAGATATTCATTTTTTAATAGTTCTTTGACTATACTAGGATCTAGAAGTCTATGTTTTCTAAATTTAAGAAACTTATCGGTATGCACCTGTTTAAGTTTTTAGTCCGGTTTGTCGAAGGGTTACAAACACCTTGAGGTAGATAAACAAGAAGCACGAAATCAAAATTCATTAGTCTGACAGTAAGATGCATTAATAATAAGACCCTAAGCCTGGAGAAAGTCAGTAATGTGTTACGAAGTATCTGATTATGACGCTGATACATAAACTTCGTACATGCATCCCCAACAGGTTAGTTGGGTGAGAGGACAGCCAGTTAGAAGAATACTTTATTGCTCAAACCGAGCGGAGAATATATGTACAATTATCCATAAACAAACATATATTTCCCTTCACAAAAGAGGTCACATTTTCAACTAGCAGCGTATTTCGCTCCTTAGAAAAGGGAGTCTAAACTTGGTCAATAGCGTTTGCTTATAATCTGGTTGATGTTTAACTAGCCCACTAAATCATCAGTCAGTGAAGTGAGTCACTACACAGAGGGCTCTTTGATTTTCAGTAACTGTTCGGTGACGCTAAAAACACAACTTACAAAATATAAATGAATGAAATCATGAACCGATCAACGTGAGACCACCATTGAAAACCTATAAACACTGTATGGCTGTTTCGTCTTATTATGGGACTTATCAGTATTGCGTATCCACAACACCGCACACGGGACTCGAGCTCAGGGCCTAAAATTGCTCCGTTCATGATCCTAATGAAATTTGACAATTTCGATAACTCATACTGACGAATAAATGAGTTTGGATATCACAAATGACTAAGAATATTTTGAAAATGAGAGTTCTGTATATTGAGTGAACGCTTTAGGCTATTTTGTGTATAAATGAGATAAGTAATGCTGACCAATACGTTGTTGTGTGAATGGTTTGATAATTAGACTAGGTTGTCATTTCAAGTGTCATGGGATATTAGAATCTTGTTGTCATGTTATGACTGTTGTTGAGTAAATGTTAGTGATTCCGATTATACGTACGTACAATAAAGCGTTTATTATCGAACAGGCTACTTAACCGCGCCGTTACCAAATAAAAATAACAGCGTTCATGGAATTTAATGCAGTTGAGACACGAAGTAACTTCTCGATACTAGCCAAAACTGTCCCAAGCACTGATCAAAGTTTAGTTTACCAATCCTGAAATGCATTGAAGCGACCAAATAGAGTGACGTTACACTGTAAATTTCTTTCTGGTACAAGACAAGACGTTCAAAGCCAGTCGGTTGAAAATCACAAACCTTAATTTTGTATCGTCCTTGTTGACTTTCCTTACAAAATGAACGCTGAAAACTCTGAGGGACTCCTCTGAGTGAAGATATTTAAGGACATTACAATTAAGCTTCACTAAAGTTGAGCATTTAGTTTAATGACCATACAGGAAATAGTGATTAATATACTTCGACAGTCAGTTATGACATAAGCATAGGAGTTGATACTAGTCCACAGCTAATTTCATTTATGAATTACGTATATGGAGGTTATCTGTTGAGGTTGAACAGAAATATGAGGAAGGATTTTAAGCTACTACACTACCCCATGATTTTCAAATTGTCCATTAGACATCTGTACAGAAATTGGATACACTGGTACGAAAAAAAAACAATGGCTGAAGTAATTTCTAAGTGTTTTGGTCAAAATGTATTGCTTATTAACAGAGAAATGAACATATGACAAAAATATTTTTTGCGGGATTCCAATTAAAGAGGTTATATATATTTAACTTAAAGGGAAAAATGTCACTTTATGAAAAACTGTAGTTACTTTAAGTGGTTCATAATTTTATTTACATAACATAAAACTAAAGATTATTTAAAATTTTTAGAGATAGTAAATAAACAGTCGTACTAGAAGTGACATGATAAAAAATTTCCTGCAAAATTCACGTGGAATGACTGTTACAAAAGGAAAAATAAAGCTACATGAAGAGTCGACGATAGATTCGCTTTACAATCTTGATCCTATGTGCCGAAATACTTTATAAAATCGATATACATACAATAAAGGTATTAATAAAACATACTAACTTAAATTGGTCTTTTCTACGAGTTGGTGATAAGTAGAGGCTTTAATATTAACCAAAAATTAATTTGAAAGTGAACAAAATTACAAAGAAAATATAAGTTTCAATTGTAATCATTTTACTTCTTTAGACACTTTTAAGATCGTTCGTGAAATTGTATAAGTAATTTTTAAAAAAAAGAACACAAAAGTTGAACTTTAGGGATGAACGCTATTATCAACTGGTAGAGAGTACAGAAAATTTGAAGAATCATATATTCTATTGATTCAGAAAATAAGAAATTTAAATTTGAACAACTTCCAGTTACATAAAATACTTAGAAACTATTAGAAAGATTCCATAAACTACTTATCAAGTAGCTAGAAGTAGGTCCAAAGTGTTTATTCCTTTTTTAATTTATAGCATTTGTCAAATTATTTGAAGAAATAGGTTATATTTAGGAGTAATTTACCGTCAAGAGTAGAAGTGCCATAGGCAACGGATCTTCAGTGAAACAAGAGACTACTCCTGATTCTCATAAAGTAATAGGTATTTAATGAGTACCAAATAAATTTTTCGAGTATAAAATATATTCATTATATGATCACAGGTCGAAATTCATAGGCTACATCAATAAATAATTACTTTACTGGATATCGTAATACAAATATATTCACAAGTAGAATTTAATTCGATTTCGTATAATTTGTCCACACTCATAGTTCTAGTTTTTCATTTTAGGCAATATGAGTAAAAGGTTAGAGAATAGTATACCGTTAAAGATCCATTCATATTCAAAGTTTTGAAATCAACCACAACATGCATTAAGGAGACAAATAGGTGAACATTTCCGCTGCTAAGTGATTGCGTATAAAGTAGAGAAAATGAGGGTTATGTGTATAATGATAATGTTACGAATAGGGTGCAACTATTATTTTTGTTTCTATCTTGCACTCGGTTAAACTTCACTACTTAACACATCTGCAAACTTTTCCAGTTAATCTACGTCAATCAACTATGTAAACAAATAATTAACAATATAATAAATATATGGGAAGACCATCAATAACCGATTGTTAAGAGTATAATTAAAATTAATCACTTGAAGCATATGGAAATTAGTTTGTATTAAAAACAGAAAAAGAATCCTAATTAAGCATACAGTATAATCAAGAGACAAAACTACACTAGATGTCCAACTAAAATGAACCATGAAAAAAAAAACTAAGTGAATATATATCTGAGTTCAGTTAAAGAAACAATGTAGGAGTGCGGTGTTTCGAAGAAAAAATATACGACATTAAATTACTGTGTAAAAAGTGACCAGAATACAATCTTCGGTAAGACACAACACAGTTTACATACAATAACAAACGATATCTCACCAATTTCATTCAAGTGTTATAAGGCAAGTTGAACTAGCAATATTTATTCATTCTCACACTAAAGTGAACAAATATCATAGAGACATATCACGTATTAGAGGACTAAATGATTAGAAAATATAATAGATAAGAAAACAATTGGTTGTTTCATCGTGGCTAAAGAAATTATTTATTTATCAACAAGTCACAAGTCGGGGGCTTGCTACACTTATTCTGCTATGCGTAACCAGATCGTACAACTGTCCTTCATACAAATGGTATTGGTGAAGGGTGAGTAGATAAATCTGTACCTGTTTGAGCCAGTGCTATTTATTAGATGTTCCAAGGTATATGTTAATGATCAGCTTATATCCTAATATAAATATGAATTAAATCATGGAATTTATTTTGTTCTATTTAGGATCACTTTAATTCTCCAAATCATAAGAGGAAAGTATGAGGGATATATCACTTTCAATACAATATAAGTCATTAATGTATGTTAATGTACATAAATTGATAAAAGACATAGAACATTGAACGTGCAGTTACGTGACTAGCAGTGACAATAACAAATCTGGATTATTCTCGCAATTTAGATCACGGACTGATCTTAGCTAGGTCACCACTGAAGGCTTGAAAGCACTGAACGGACGATTTGTCCTAGTATGAGACTCCTTAGCAGTGCGGATTCACGACCTCGTATCCAGAAAGAGAACCCAGAACCTACGACCTCGCCCGCGAGCGCTAAACCTCTAGATCACTGAGCCGGCATCCAGTGGCATTAATTTCGAACTCCAATCAAATCATGATAATGTGCAACCCTCATCTATTGCATGGAGTGGATAGCTGTCTTACACACGACACAGATTCCAGATTTTCAATGGTAGTCTAGCCAAGATCAGTTCGTGATTTAAACTGTGAAAATTCCACAATTCCTGAAAACCGCTTATACTAAGATATAGATTAAACAATACCTGGAAAATATAAAGTGTGACTACGAAAAATTAGGCATTATACCTTCAGGAATTAAAGTGAATAAATAATAATCCAGTTTGCAGAAACTAAAAAGTTGAAGCACAAAAACTTATATACTACGGAGTGATTGGTGACACAATAAACCGAAAGTGATAAAATGATTATTTTTTATATATAGAACATTAACCGGGTCAGAAAATATGTCCAACTGTGGTTTAGATTGAATGATATCACGAAAAACATCTCTTAAACTTATACAAATGATTATCTTGTAGGCTATTTTATGTTATTCCAAAAACATCAAACATAAATATGAACTACCGAAGATCACTTTTGTGGGATTTATCACTGTTTCAACAAAATTGTAGTACTGGCTTAGCGGGTGGAAATGATTCATCGTAAACGCTTATTCGGCTAATAACTATAATGACTAACACATAATCCTAAGGAAACAAATAGTATATGAACCAATTATTGGAACTACATTTCCCGACATTGTTCCACTTACTTGTGGACCAGACCTTTAGGTTGAGGGCTCTGGCTGTGGTCCACTAAGAAAACCACCTGCTTCAGTTTGGGCACCCGGGCAGTATCATAACCCACAGACAAATCAAGTGACTTGTGTGGCGCGTATGTATATGGTACCTCCTTGTACCAATATTTGTGTTCAAATAAATAAATGCGCCGCACAATAAAAACGAAGTTGTGAAGAGATAGAGGAAGGAAGGCGAGTATAAAAACTGAATTGGATATAATATAGTGTATGAGGGTGAGAACAACGATAACATTGAGAGAAAAAGTCCAGCTAAGAAAAAACCCGACAAGGACTGTTATAAAGAAGTCCCTATCAACCATATAAAAAGTAAAGCTACAACAGGATCGCCACTGGTTTCTATTGCGAGCCATGTCTGATAAAGTCTCAAGCCATTATGTTTTACACCTAAAGGACTTATTTTGATTTGACTAAATATTCTGCCTAGTTCTTCTATGTTGTTTAAGCTTGTGTTAATTTATTTCCGTTATTTACTTTCAAGAAGTGGCTTAAACTAAGTCATGAAATATCAGAAATCCAAATTTCTACACATCGAGATACCACAAATACATCATTATTTTATTATTAACTTTCTACCTATTCGAAATCATCAAGCTGCACCTTGGTATTGATACCTAGTCGTACAGTGTTTTTCGTGATCTGAGTGGATGACGATTACAAGGAACAATGATATATCACTCATATTCGCAATTTATCTCTGAATTTAATTTATTTCACTCACCTACACACAACGATAGAAAATAAACGATGGGGTGTGAAGAACTACAGACTGTAAGTAGTATGTAATCTTACTACAATTACAGAAACGGACTACCATACGCCTTATCTCTATAAATTCCTGGTGATACGTACCACATTTGATCTCTTTATTATATAAATGACGACTGTGGGTAATAATAACCAGGAAAGACTGTAATCAAAATAGCAAATCCTTGTGAAGAATCCCGAGTCTTACCACTAAATGCTAAATGTCATAGTTAGTTGAACATACCGACTACTCACATTACGTAATAAGAAGTATCATAGATTTCTCGTTTTAAGTATTGAACCTAAAGTCAGATTTTCACATTGCAAAAGTTTATTTATTTAGTTATGTCTGTGTGAGATGTAATATTCCATAATATTTCAGAGAGTAGCGATCTAGATGTTGAATTGATTAGTTGAAGAGTGAAAATATACAGAAGGATATATCAAAAAGGTAATACAACTGAAAATTTAATATTGAACGGACATATAAGCAGGTCAATTATTCTCGACATACAGTTGCGCTCAAAAGTGGATCAGTCTAAGCTGCCTTATCAAATCAACGCAACGGGATTAAATTGACAAGATGAATAGTAAATGAGTGGAAATAATATTATCGATCCCAATTAGGATTAAATACTGAGAATATAGTCCGAAAAGGTATTTATGACGGAATACATAACTAACTTCATCAATAGTTTTCAAGCAAAGAGTCGTAACAAGTTTCATGCACTTCATTCGCACACTTTTCATTGACAAAAGTTAACAAAACCTCGCGATTGACGAACTGGTGTAGCTTTGTAATGAAATACGACTATAGTTGGGTGCCGTCAATAGTTCCAAAACGTGACATAATGAAATAAGTAAACGAGCAACAGGACAACCTTTACAACATGAAATTGTGACGACATATATCAGTAATCAAAACTGACTTCAATTAAAAGGTTACATACAATTGCATGAAGTTATATTCATTTTAACCAGTTTTTTCTAGTCCCGAATTCAGTAAAACGTGAAAAACAACAAATATACGAAGTTAACTACGTACATGACTAAGATTTACGAAAAAGATAAGAAGTAGCATGTTTAGACAATTGGTAGCATTAACTCTAAAACTTGTCCGACTATCTTTTATTAGATTAACGAAAATATTGGTAATAAATAAATGAGGCAGATTTACAATATTTTAGTATAGTTAAGGAGAAACTTTCATAGCTGACTAACATCATTTAAGGAAGTATCAGATATCTATCTCATTCATTAGAACATCATTGTACACTTATTTAACTAGTTTTCAAATGTAGAGTAAAGACATTACATATTTGGAGATTATTTTGACATTTAGGTAGTTTGACACTGATGATAATGAATAACTTCTGTATGAAAATTGATGTCAATTTATGATCATATGAATATTGTACTTACGACCTTTCGTAGTCAACTGTAATTTTTTCTGTTATCTTTATTCAGATACTTGGCCGAATTGTAATTGCACTATTATTTCTCTTACCCTATCTAACCCATATTCATTCTGATCATGGATCTTAAATTTTCACTAAACATATATGAAGATTCAAGTTAACATTCTATATGAGTCACATCAACACTAACAATTTTATTCTATTTTGTTTGACAATCCCAAATTCACAAGCTTTAAACGATGTACTTTGCACTTGACCTGGTCATTTTTCGGATTATCAATTTGGATATATAATTGTAGAACCTGAATAGAATTTACCAAAACGAATATTCTTCGTCCAAATATTAGTCTTTTAATATAAATATTAATCTATTTTAATTTCCTAAATAGGAGATTTAATAAATGAGGTATGCTCGAAAGTACAATTTACAAATCTGAAAGTCACTCATGATAACAGGCTAACTATATGGTAAGAGGTTAGATACGCAAAAGACATAAAATGGATAGATTACCGTACCAGCCCGAGTGTCGATTTCTGCTAAACGAGTTTCCCTTTCCAATACGAGATTCACATTGTCTTTCATTATACCAACAACCTGAAATAAAGTAAGTTACAAACAAATATAAAGAAATTTTACCTCCTGAACTTTAGCCTGTTGCTGACGAATCCGATCATCGGCTTGATAATTATATTGATTATTCATGTTTAAAACGGTCTAAAAGTGTTTAACTTCAATTGCGATGAGAAATGTCACAAACACAAGCCTCCTAAAACAGAGAACTTCATTCAATGGAGTTAATAACTGCATCCAATTAAAGTATAGTCTTTATTAATAGCACCATAAGATAATTTAAGATAATGTTAAATTTCAGAATAAATCTGTGCTCAAGCAGGAGACAAATGTGTTTATATAAACAAAGAAGATCTGAACAGACTATAGTGTGTTTGTTGTTAAACTACAAAATTGCCCCCAAATGCCCTGGTATGGCCGAGAGTGGGGTGGGCCCGCCCTCCCCCTTGAAATACTCTCACGACCACGCGTATACAGCCTCTGACAGGGAAGTCCTACTCATCACCTCGTGGTGGGGGTGTTGTTTACGAAAATGAGAAGACGAAAAGCGAATGTCCGGCGCTTTAACCGGATTCCAAACCATTGGTTCACATGGGCTCCAGTATCCCAAGGGAACAAATGGCGTATGAACCAATCGTTGGTCACCGGCTACCATGGGACTGCATCTCCTTACGATGCTCCACTGCCTTGTGGATCAGACCTTCAGGTCGAAGGCTCGGGGTGTGGCCCCCTAAGATAACCACCTGCTTCGGTCTGGGCATCCGAGCAGTATCACAGCCCACACACAAATATAATGAACTGTCGATAATTATGGAAAATACTTTTCTTGCTTCAATTAACAATCAAACGATTCACATTATTATTATTATTACTATTGTTATTATTTACTACGTCATTTATTCACTCTCTTTTATTCCTACTCTGTCTATCCTTATTATGCGACTTATACAGCAGCTCGCCTATGGTGGATTTTCGATTCTATCTAAACGTTCTCGAGTAGAGACGTTATCAGATATGGCTCAGAATAGAAGCCATTGGCGATCCTGCTGTAACCTTTTAATTTCTTCATAAAAAGTGGTTGCTTCTTCCTTAACTGAAAGATCTCTTCTGAGTGTACGTTTCTGTTTCCCCCATTATTATTATTACACTACCTTACACTAATCTGTTCGTTATCGTTTTTTTTACGTTCTTTACTTTTTTTCCTTCTCTGCAATTCTCATTGTTTTGTGTGGCGCATATATATTTGGTGCCCTCCTGTACCAATATTTATGTGTTCAAATAAATAAACTAGAAATTCCGAGAAAAATGTATTGATTTTTGTAACCACTGCCGGTAAAACTCTGTTCAGTACTATTTATCCATCAAAAACCTAAGACCTGGACAAAACATGCATCGACCTAAGGATTTATACTTCATATAACTATAATGAAAAGAAATTAGCAGGATTAAATCAAATAAAGTGAAGTAATAAGATCGATTGTAGTGGAAACTAAAAACTGGGAATAAATCATGTGATACCTGAACAAGAAGTGTGATATAAAACTAAAGCTTTGAAATTCAATGCACTAGTTGTGGATTTTTGTCTGTTGGTACTATCTAAAGTTACTACCCATTTTTTCGACAGTATCCATTAGTAGGAAACCTGACGTAACCATTTAAAGCATACATCAAAACAAAGCCTCTCACTGCCAATGTGTACAGTCTAGAGCAATGTGAGAAATGCCAATTTCACAACCGGTCTGCTTACGAAACCGAATTTAATATATTTCCTGGTATTAGTGAAGTGTATGTGAAGACATGTATGAAATAAGTTTCGCAAACAACGCTAACTCTATAAGTTTTCAATAATTTAACCAGCAATCATTAATCACTGCAAATACACGCATTGCGATTTCTATGGAATACCATTTCGTAGCGACACTTCAATTTTGCTCCTTATTGATCTGCTGAGGATACAAAACACTTTTATACATAAAATATAGTTAACAAATGTAGAGAAAAAAACAGGACAAATGGTTGAGGGAAAAAGGGTAGTGAAGTGGTAATGATGAAGAAATACTTTACAAGTACGCATTTAGTTGATAAAATATGGGAACTTTGGTTAAAATACAAAGCGAGAAATGTAAATAACGAATAATGTATGTTGACAGGTGCGTGAAAAAGTGATCATAAATAGTCTTAAAGTATAAACCAAAACCTATTGTTAGTGTCCGATCATAGTTTATTAAGAGAACAGAAGACAGAAAATTAGATTAGGAAAAATCTAAACCATATGGGAGATGATAACTTTTATGTACCTGTACAACATCACTGATGAACAAGGAGGATCTGATGCAGACGTAAAGGAAAGGATTGGCGAAGCAAGGACAACATTTCTACAGTTGAAGAACATACAGAACTCAAAACGACTGTCAACCAATACCAAAGTGAAAACCTTTAATACGGACGTCAAGACAGTTCTACTGTACGGAAATGAAACTTGGAGAACTACTCCAACCATCATCAGAAAGGTGGAAGTATTTATAGACAATCGTCTACCCCCCCCCCAAGATACTGAATGTCCGTTGACTGGAGTAAATTAGCAAAAGACTCCGGAGATGGATAGGATGTACACTGCGGAAATCACCAAACTGCATCACGAAGCAAGCGCCAAATTGGAATCCTAGCGAGAAATGGAAAAGAGGAAGGCCAAAGAACACACCGCCGAGAATTGGAAGCAGACATCAAAAGAATGAACAACGAATGAAAACAACTAGAAAGAATTGCCCAAGACAGAGTTAGATTGAGAATACCGGTGGGCGGCCTAAGTTCATCCGTAAGGGGTAAGAAGAGTAAGTAAATATGGGAGATAAGGGGAATTATAACTGCTAAAGTGAATATTAACGCAACAACAATGAAGCTAATTACGAGAACCCCAGAAACAATGCATACGACAAACTCGGGAAATTAAACTACACAAGCTCAAGTCCCTAAAACTATCAATTCATATCACTAAATGACCATGTATTTGAATAAAGTAACGTTTCAACGCTTAGGTAATGAGGACCGGATAACTATAAATTATGAAATGTATTTCGGACATGCGGGGGTGGCCTTTATAGGTGGATGAAACTGCAAACTTGACAATGATTAGATAATACAATAATGGCTATCACATAAGTAGAGGGATACTCGACAGCTCAGTGTTCAGGCTTTAGTGGCTCTCAAGCTCCCAACCCTGGTTATAATTTCGTTAGTTTGGAGGAAATCCCATCAAAAAGTTTAAAATAACTCTGGGGAAAATTGAAATCAGAATCTTGAAATTTCCACTGACTTAGAGGTTTTTCAGAAAATAAGCTGATGTTTTGGAGTAATCGTCAAAATGTGCGGGGATTTCGAGGTTGTGATTGTTTTCATAGAAGTTTTGTGGAAATGTAATCAACTTCATTGAGAAATCTACAAAGTTCTTGAACAACTTATGGAAAATCCCGAAGTTTCTCTTAACGAGATGTTTACAGAAGCCTTGCTGTGAAAAAAATCATTAAGTCAGGCAAACCGGTGTTTAGTAATACTTGTTATGGAACTACTATGCAATGTAAATTCCCTGAAGACTATAGTATATGTTATTTGGAAATACTTCGTAAAATTCCAAAGTTACATAAAAAAGAGACGTTTTCACAGATGGATATCGCAGAGGAGTAAATCTGAACAACACAAACGTGTGAGGTAAACAATGGAAGGAGATAGTACTCCAGTAGCGAACTTCTTATCATCTATTTTAAACTATTTACAAAAAAGAAACACATTTTTTTTAATTCTCGCCAACGAGAAAAGGAATTTGAATTCAACACATTACCTTGCAGAAATATAAAATATAAATTAAGGACATTTCGCAGGCAGTCAGAAAAATAAATAAGGGGAAAAGTAATGGGGAAGTAGTAACAGACAATTGTCTGCTTTTGCAAAATGCTGATTATTTGATGTCTGAATATTGTGAAACGGTAGACAATTCTGAGTTCGCAAAACGATCGTATTGAGATAAAGTAGGCAATTTGGACAAGGTAAAAGCGAAAGACTCGGCACACTCATTCTTAATGAAGAGACTTAGGAGAAAATTCTCACATACCCAAGACTGAGAAAAACAACTTAAACTTAGAGAATTGTCGTCCATAATCACACCGACTTACTTATGGAAGTTTCTCAACGTTCTAACTTATTTGCCTTTTTTATTCGCTTAAGCTAACTATGTTGGGATAGAAGAGCTTTGTGACATTATGACTTAAGTCATCACACAACCTATAAGCAAATCATTCTGCGCACATTCTCGTGAAAATTAAACAATTTGGCGGGAAACCAATGATATTTCAAACCCAAGGCGACTAAATAGATAAATGCCGAACTACTTTCCCACAGCAAATGTTCGGGTGACTTTCCTTTTATTTTTCCATATTGTCTTAGGGAATGTCCATTTTTCCCGTGTTCGCTTGTATTACTTCTTTCTGGTTTGTTTGAATTCCATGAATATATCATCTTACAACATTTCAATGAAGAAATTCCATAAACGATGTTGGGATTATGAGTCGAGATAAGCAAAAATGATGATGTAGTGACAAGAATGATTATTGACAGAAACCAAAAGTGACCTTTTATGACGAGAAAATGTTTAAAGTGGGCGGTGAAATATTTAAAAAGGACAAATCACTAACAGGTTCAAATGGTTTTGGAAGAGACATAAGAAGCTTTAGCTTAACAGACCTACGTATCTAGTAGCAGTGGGTCATTAATACCTGTAGGAAGGATTCTGGATATATTATCGTTAAAAGAGGAAAAAGCAGTTGGTAGGTCATTATCACTAGCCTTTAAAAATTTGTCAAATTTTCTCTTATGGGGCTCCAAGGTAGATCGCTTGAACAATGCCGGACGGCAGCGAATTCCTGAATTTGATTACTCTTAAGGAGTAGAAGTTGTGTCAATAGTCTGTTCTGCCGAGTTGTATCTACAGTTTTTGGAAATTACCCCTCAGTTTTGTGTTGGAGCTAAATTTAAATAGGTGTTTGAGGAGATGTCCAGAAGTGTTAAGAATGCTGTAAGATATTCGAAAGTCACATCTTAGACGCCTGTACTCTAATGGGTAATGGTTTAGTGATTGGAAGCGCTCTTCATAGGGCTTGAATTCGAGTCCCCGAACTGATTTCGTGGCTCGCCATTGGATACGATCCAGAGTGTCCTTAACCTTTTGGAATGAGTGGGAACATACTGTATTTCCGCACACTAAATGGAAACAAATAAATCTGTAAAGAATATGTGGAAAGTTCTGCCGTCAAACTGACCAAAAATGCGCTTCATATTTACCAGTGCAAGGTTTACTCGGAAGGTACTTTTGTCTCAGTTAGCGTAAGGCTTCGAATAGTAGTTCGCCAGCATTCCTTAATATTTTTCAACCTGGGTTACTTATAGAGCTGTAGCTGTAATCTGTAACATGTCGCAGATGGACTAGTTTACACTTTCAAGTGTTGAAGATAAGTCCATTGTCATCTACCCAATTTTGAAGTCGAATCAGATCCTCCCAGTATATCCTCTTGGTTGCCAATCTCCCTCCTTACAAATTTTCACATCACCATCAAAAAGTAATAGGTCTGATAATGTCTGATGTGGAAGATCGTTTATACAAACGGAGAAGAGAAAAGGTCCTAGTAGTGAACACTGGAGGTCCACAGTAGGGCATTCCATAGTCTGAGAAAGTGAAGTTAACCTCAAAATGTCGATTTTTTAGACATGAAGTGAACCAATAAATTAAAAGTGACTTTATACCTAACCGTTTGAGCTTACTGATAAGACATATATATTTGACCCTATCAAAAGCTTATGAGAATTCAAGGTAAATGATGTCAATCTTAAGGATGGTTGTCCATCTGTCCACTGCACTCAGCAGGTTGGATATGCAAGAATAACCCTTCTGGAAACTGTGCTGTTGGGATGAAAAGAAGTTTAATGATAATAAATAGTCGTGTGTACCGTCGTATATCAAGGACTCCATAATTTTTGAAGGTACAAAGATAAGAGCCACTGATTGGTAGCTTGAAGGCTTTCTGAGTCGACATCTTGCCTGTAAACTGGCATGCCTCATGTAACAAACTGTTATTTGAGAATAAATTATTATTATTATTATCCTTTGAAAATCGGAGTGACGTGAGCCAGCTTCCTAATTTCCGATAATTTGCCCCGGCTTAGCGAGTGTGGGAACATCCCGCTTGCCAGTAATGCCCAGATTGAAGCTGCTTCCCTCAGTATAGCAGAATGAACCATTTCAACACCAGAGAAAGTATCTCTTTTAGGTGCTTCATTTTCCGGCACACCAAATCAGCGACCAGATTAACTTTTGAAAGTTTTGTGGAGTGGTAGATGAAGCTTTTATCAATATAGCAAATGTGGGTCGGTTGAAATATCTGAGGGTACTGTTCAGCCAAAGGATTAGCTCCGTCAACGACGTTATTAGTCAGGCCATTCCGACCTAGCAGTTGGGAAACTCCAGTTGTATCTTGCCGAAGAGAGGTTGCATAACAGAATAATGTTTTCGGATTGGAGAAAATTTATCGACAAGCTTCATCTGGTGCTGAAGCCTGTTTTATCTTGTGCGTTTATGCATATTTTCCGTTTTTTATTGCCTGTATCTGCCATTGTTACCAGTTCGTCTTTATCCTGCGCGGAAGTGCATTTTGAGGCTTAGTAAAGCAAGAAAATTTGTATAGTATTGGTCCACATATGGATCCTAAAATTACCATTCATTATTCTTGTCGTGAAATAACGCTCCTCCCCTTTTTGAAGATCCGAAGTTGATATCTGGATTTTAAATTTTCCGACTCCATCCTTCCCCGCGAAATAATGTTGGGTCCTCATATACCCAAGTTACAATTAGTTCGACTGTATTTAAAACATTTTAGCGTGGCGTCGAGTCCCAATTGACTATGAACACCGCTAACAATAAACACGTGCCAAAGAAATCAGAAAGCAAAGGTTGAACGTAACCCAATTTATTCGGTTGGCGATCTCGTGGTATTGAACGAATACCGAGATCGTGCCAAGAAATGGTACAAGCGAAAGCAGGAGAATGGAGTACGTGCGAATAGTACCAAAAACCACGGAACAATGATGGAAGGTAATGATAGCACAAATTGGCTGTAATTAGCACAGCTAAACAAAAGCAAATTGAAACAGTCACTGGTATAGTTGGTTATAATAATAATTGTTTTCATTAAACCAATCGTGTTCTCCTGATGAAGATGTACCACTACAGGAGCCCTCTGCTAGAAAGGGTTTACACTTTCGATAAATAGCGGTTTAAGTCGTGGACTGATCGGCTGACGAGCGATTGTAGGACAGAAGAATTGGCGAACAGGAAAGCGATCGTTGATCGTCGAGTTGCCAACGAAGGTCGTTTTCGGAGAACGGTACCAGGGGCGATGTGCTGTATTTGTTGCTTGAGTTGGCA